ACCAGATCAAAATAACCCAACTCTTCATGCAGTAGAATGTTTGTCTCAGATGGTAAAACTGCCCCGAGACCAGAAATGAACCTTCTTTCAGTATTGTGTCAGTATGGCAGAACCAAATAGTGTACTGTTCCTCCCATACTCTAAACTCTGACACATATGATGACATTTTCTTTTGCATGACTTAATTTCCTTGAATGAGACCCAAATTTTACAAAGACATAGAAACGAGTGCACAGGCTATGACAGAAAGGAAAGGTAAATTCTGGCATTATGTCATTAGAAAGTTACAACTTTTACATCAGATTGAAGCAATGTAAAGCCCAGCCAACAGGAGGCTGGAATTTCAACAGCTCACAGTGGCTAAAATTCTAAACTTAGGTGATCAAAAGGTTAACTGCTCTTATGGTATATTTCAACCAGTGGTGGAGAGGAACAAAGTGGATTTACCTGATTACTGTATTTAAGTATTTTTTTTGAGTATCTTTACTTTACTTGAGTCATTTTTTGGGGGGCTATTAATAAGTTTCACTACACTACATTTCAAGGAAGCTGCTAGTTACTTGTTACTTTTTAAATGCAATTTCAGCATGGCAGAAGCCCTTAGGACTGAATTTAGACAGCACTGCGTTAGAGATTTTCATGACATTTCACAAATGTGAGAAACTCAGGGTAGATATTATTTTTAGTTTATACTTTTAATTTGGGTGTTACTTGTTGCCATGTGACCAAGTTGTTCAGTAGTGTGAGTTGCGGGTTCTTTGTGGTAATAGATTCAACCTTAAACCTTTTTCACATAATAAAATTGTCAGGAGAATCGAGACAATTTTGTTTTGTTTTTGCTTTTTGTTTTAAACCTCTTAATATCCACCTCATTCTCACCTATTTTGCATACCCAAATGGAAAAACAAATAACTTAGGAACTGTAAGCCCAAATTATATGTGTGATACATTATTTGAAAGCGAACACTTTTTAGTTTCTGAATATAATTATTGACAATTGGGTGAGTAAAACACCCAAGCTGCATCAAGCCCAAACTGCATCAGTTCAAACAAGATTTAAAGATGGTTTTTCTTTTATTCTCGAACATAATAGGTCTTTTTTGAACAGCAGTTCAAAAAAACAGTTGTTTGCTTGTTATTGCTGCTCTGTCATGGTACATTTTGACATGCTGCTATATCTGTGTTAATTGTGCTTTGGTGCTCACTATGTCCATAAAATAAACTTGGTGGTTGAATTTTGGAGAATCTAAGCTCTCCAAGGATGTCTAACATGTCTATACTGGTAAACATTTTACCAGTGTAATGTTCATGCATTCTGAGTTTTTATTTGTAAACACCTTAAAACGGTGATACAGAGGTTAACCAAGAAGTAATCATCTGGGCTCTTCTTCCCTCTATAAAAGACATTTCATCCCAGTGCTGTGTGTTGCAAGCCCGTAACATCATCAGTGACCCCCTCACTCCCCCTATATGGACTGTTTTGCATTATTCGGTGCAGGATGAGCAGGTTCCGTAACAGCTTTTTCCCTGCCTGTTGAACTGTTGTAAACTTTAATTCAAATCCTTTTAAATAGAATTCAACTCGGTTGACTTCTACCACATTTTGCACCATATCTATTTATTCATTTTTGCACTACTCTGAAACCTCCACATCAATGCCCTTTTCACCATGTCTCTCCTGCACTGATTACATATTGATCACTGCTGCACTTTAAAACGTTGAAAAACTGTATGCATTGTATTGTGTAGACACGCTGTGTATACAAAATTACAATAAAGTTAGTCTAAGTCAAAAGAGCTTTCCTTAGCTGGCATTTTGATGCTGAAGTTCTTTACAGATGGTGTAGAATTTTTAGCAGAGTTGCTCTAACATCAACACTTCAGGTGGTTTCTGAAAGTTACATGGTACATGGTAAATTACACAGAAATTAATATTAGAACATCTAATTTGTATTTTTGAATATTTAAGTACTTTTAAATACATGCACTTTTGAATACTTAAGAATTTTCAAAATGAGTACTTTGATACTTCAAATTGAGTAAATGTTTGACTAAGTAAGTTTTACTTGTAGTTGAGTAAGACTTGACTACAGTATGAGTATCAATACTTTTACTCAAGTACAACTTTTGAATACTTTGTGCACCACTGATTTTTATATGATTTATGTCAAAAATTGTACTTGATTTGTTGTCAAAGCTTTTGTATTGCCTTTTATTTCAGTACATTCTTGGTTCCACTCTGGGAACCCTTCTTTATGCACTCTTTTTTTCTTCTTGCAAACATCTATCTTACATTTCCTATCTATCTTACAAACATATTCTGTGCTTTACAACTTAATATGAAAAATTATCCTGCTTCCTTTCTGAAAGGATAGTAGTTCTGATTGAAAATTTAAATACAAGAATATCATACATTTAAAAATATATAAAAAAAAAAATTTTAATCTGATTTCATCAAATAAAAGATAAAATTTCATGAATCCTCTAAGTATTTTTTATTTTGATACTTTTGGACATCAGCTGTTTAAACCTAGATGAGCCAAAACAGTGTTGTCTTTTGTTTTTTAGAAATGTCCTTCTTTTTATACTACCTGATAATAGCTTTAATACAAAAGTAAAATATTTCTGAAAAGCATTTAGCAATATCATTGGTTGTATGTGTTCTTCATGTGAAGATACCTTTGATTTCAAAATTCCAAATAATTTATTATAAACTTTCTCCAGAGTAGTCATCTTAATGTTTACTGATTTAAGAAGTGCAAATGGAACACAGTTATTTTGTTTAAGATAATCAGTGGCTAAACTAAAATGCTTAAGTCTAAATGAATTCACTTGTTACACACATGTGATAACTATGATAGCAGTCTCATTAATTTGAGACTGTATTTTGTAAGGACTCAGCACAGCACACTTTTCACTCAATCCAAATTGATATCTTTTCTGTGGCAAATAAAATAGTCAACATGTTACTTCTCAACTCTTAAAACATGGACCTCTGTATGTCTGTCATCCTCTGATTAGAAAGGTGGATCTGCTGTCATATAAGTGGAGGTTTATAGACCGATGTAACGGTATTACAGAAGACATGTAGTTGTCATTTAGAGTCACTTTTATAGGTTACCCAATTTTTTTTTTCACTGAGGCAGTTGTCCTTGCTTGTTTTGGCCTTAGTTTACAGGCCAAACATATTGCTATTATCTCTAATAGTTTATTGAGATTAAAGTGGAACAAAAGTCAAAATCCTTGCTTATCTGTACAAAATTCCCTAAGTTCTGAATCTTTTTTCATTTATCAAGTTGAGCATAAAGCTGGTAGATTGTTGATTTGTAATCTGAGCCCAATCCTCTGGAATTTGGGTCCAACTATTTACATTAGATTAGGCATGTATACTTTTTGGAAACAGAACTTTGCAGATATTCTTATTCAATAAAGTGTTTTCACAAAAAATTTACCAACTGCTTCAATAGGAGATATCTTCCATTTTTAGGTGAATAAATTTTTGGCTAGTACTGTGCAGTTTGTATTAGAGAAGCTATGAAGAAGAGGAGTAATGGGGAATTTTGCAGCAACACTTAATGTTCCAGAATGCCAGTTTTTGTGTGTGCCTGCAGCTTGAACAATTTTGTTGTTTTGTGTAGGCATCTCTGCAGGTCAGAGCTACCATTAATTATTGATAGAAAAAGCTTAGCGCATGTGCTGGCAGAAAGTGTTGCCTAGCACAAGCTTCATCGTGCCAGAGACATCTGCAGGAGAGACAGTAAAAGCAAGTGGGAGAAAAGAAACCGAGAATTTGCACCAAAAAGAGTGATCAAGACTCAGTCATCCAATCCTAAACCTGAACTTGCCTCCTTCTACCTGCTAGCAACCAGAGAAAGAGGGACACGAAGAAAACAGGACAGAAAAAAACACTTCAGGCATAGAAGGCATCCTTTGGAGAGGAAGCAGATTAGATCATAGGAAAAGTTTTATTGACTTTTTGTGGGAGCACAGCAATGGATTTCATAACATTCTTTAAGAAAACACAACCTGAGGAACAAAAAGAAGGGAGCCAGTGAGATTTATCAGTTTATTTTTTGCGAGTGCTTCTAAAGCTGTGGGTGTTAGAAAGAGCTAAAGATGATGAGTCGCCAGGCTTGTTTTTACCGGGTCCCTCCCCCGGAGCTCCATCGGCGTAACCATCTCCAGGCCGATCCGGCTAAGACAAGAACTCTGCAAACTGTCATTGATATGAAGGTAGGACTTAGCAAATCCTCGAGGAGAAAACATTTTCAGTGACATCACACTTTTCTGCCTTTTAGTAATGTGGTATCAGTTCTTGGAAAAGTAAATCTATCTTCAAATAGATTTGAATCGAGGTTTGCCTGTGTTATATGGGCAATGAGTGAGGTTGTTTTCTTTTTCAACGCTTGTACGGTATTTCATCAAAGTGACATACTCATTCTTCCTGTTGCATAAGAGCTGAATATTTGCCTAGATTTTAAATACTCACATATAGACTGTAAACTAATTATTACCTGTATGTATATCTTATTATGCCTCAGTATTTGTATAGCCACCATGTCCAAAGTTCATTATTGGCCCATGCCGAGTTAAGCACTTATTCAATTTGTTTCAAATGTCACATATGGAAGCTTTCTCTCTCAACTCAGCCTTTGAATCCTTCACTGCTGTGAAAAATGCACTTGACTCCACATGAGTCTTTGAGTTATCCACCACACATACTTAGGGTTCATTCAGCAAAGCACTTATTCCAAAAGTGACTTCCTTACCTCAAAGCTACAGATACTTTGTGATTTTTCCACTTATTAACATTCAGTGTTAGTCACAGATGGAATCTGAATATTACTCTGACAGATTGATTTGGAAATAAAAATAGAAAGAGGCAGTTCAAGCAATGTTACTTATTTAGTTTAAGCAGCTAAACGATTAGCATTTTCCTTATATCACGTCTTGCTTTTGTTTTAGCCTTTGATGTGCAAATGTCTGCTTTGTAATTGCAGAACACAAACCCATCGTTCTGTTTTGATCCTGATGTTATCTGGCAGGTATTGTACTAGCGCTTGTATTTATCTTTTCCTTATTTTGACATAGACAACTGTGTTCCCGTATGACTTTTTACCCCACTTTTGAAAAACTTTCTCTGGGTTGAATTGTAAGAATGCCATGTACCATTGTTTGTATCCTGGAAAGTTGGAAGTTTGGCTCTTATTACATGGTAAACCTTTTGCATGTCATGTTAATTTAAAAAATGAGCTGTTTGTCTTTGCTGTGACTAATTTTGTATCCTCCCATGGAAATGAGAAACATAGTTTAAAATGCAAAAATCAAGTCTAGTGTATCACTGTTTTCCTGACTATCCAAAACAACTCTACCCAAGTTTACACTCTGGTATGTTTGTTTCAGTAATTCGATACGTAACTTTATACATTCCCTCTTGCTCAGTCTGTGTGTCTGTGTTTTGCGCTGATGATACTGGGCAGCCCATTTCAAAGTTTAGTGTTTAACACTTGTCTAAACCAATGCCACCATACAACTTTAGGACCTGGACATGACAGACCGTTTCTTCACGGATATTAAAAAACAAAAATGTTTTGAGCTGATCTATGACCTATTATCCCAAATCAACTTAACATGTGACACAGAGATGTATACTGGTTATAAGTTGGTTAAATACTCCTATGACCATAAATTATATATTTATTTTTGGATTTTTTTGAGAGTAAATGGTTATATAACACTTAATATGAGTTTATGTAAAACTTCTGTGTCATTAGTATTCATGATGGGTTTTTTTAAGCTTTTAACCCCTTCTTCCAGATATACGTATATAAACTGTTTAAAGCTAGTTAACATCTTTATTTCCGTAAATGATGATACATATAGTATAATGGCAGTTACTTTACAATTACTCTTAATAGAACAGTAGGGTCATTTGAAATAAACATCCCCATTACATCTTTGTATAAATGTTGTAGGTGCAACTCAGATTGGATAGTGTTTGTTGATCTATATCTTGTCTTCATGTTGGCTGTTTTGTGATTAAATTCTCTATATAAAATTTGATACTGCTGTTGGATTAATAGCTGATGAGTTTCTGACTCTTTGCCACACAATTTTTGCTGGTACAGGACACCAAGATTTCTTCCCTGGAAAGAAACATCAGAGACTTAGAGGATGAGGTCCAGATGCTAAAAACCAATGGCCTGTTGCACCCTGATGACAGGCACGATGAACTCAAGCAGGTGGAAGTCTACAAGAGCCACTCTAAATTTATGAAAACTAAGGTAGACACTCTGCATGAAACATAAGCCAGCAACACAATGCATGCGTGATTTGAATTATGCATGTTAATTAGCTAGTGCATGAAAAAATTTTTTTTTAATCATGTCATATAAACATTTTTGTAGCAGCTGTTGAACGGTTTCTTATGTTGTCATGCATGTTACATATTAATAAAAGCATGTTTTATATGTTAATGAATGTAAAAAAAATGAATGAAATTTGGTTTTCTGTTGTAACTGGAGGATGAACACCTCTTGATATCTTTATTTGGTAGATCTGGCTTGAGTGCCTACCTTTAAATCTTCCTCCTTTCCTCGTGGCAGAGATTTGATTAGGTGTAAGAAACACTCCATATATATTTGGGTCCGTATTGGCAAGTAACATCCAGTAGCATCACGCATTTCATTTCTTTGTTTCACTACACCCAAAAGGTACTGTGATGGATTTTAATCTCGTTATTGTGGTCGTTATGGAGCTTACTGGAATATAAGTAACACGGTATCAATTCAATTCAGTTCATGTCACATGTCATCTCAAGGCACTTTATAGAGACAGGTCAATGAGATCTTACAGTCAAACTAATTCAAAGTTTTCTATCTGAGGGAAACCAGTTCATTGCATCAACTCAGTGACTCGAAGGCAATCCCTCACACCAAGCATGCTTGTAGTGACAGTAGAGAGGAAAAACTGCCTTTTAACAGGTAGAAACCTGCAGACCAGCAGAACCGGGCTCAGGGTGAGCAGTCATTTGCTGAGACCACTCACACAGAGTGGTATCATGTAGAAGAATCGAGTTTTTAGAATTATATTAGCTTTACTGCTTAATTGAATTCAAAAATCCTTAATTAAAGAAAAAAGTAAATTTGTACTGTGAATTACTGTAGATTATGTCTTCCAAGTTTTTCTTAAGATTTATCCTAGATAATAAAGGTTGTGAGATGAAGGGTCTCCTCTAGGGGTATGTTTTACAAAGAATCTATGGAAGCTTCTGAGTAAAGATACTCTGTTGTCTCCTGAAATGGATAGTCAGGTTATGGTGCATTTTGTTGCTTGATGTATGAGAAGATTAATACAGTGTTGTCATAAAGCTATGATCCGCACCAGTACTTTATACTATCAATAACTTAATTTTCTTTTTTTCATACCGGGTAACATAGCAGTTTCTGAAATTCCCAGACCAGCTTCCCTTGATTTAACAAATAAACAATTTTCAAAGTCTTTTCAATACTCGTTCTTCACCAATCTCATTGAGTTTTAATTTAAGCATTTCCTCCTCACTGACTAGATGTCTTTAGCCATCTAAGACCTCTAGATTTTCAAAAGGCTAGAATGTTTTAAAACATATGTAAATTTGTTAGCATTAGCACACAAAGCAGTTGTAAATCAAAATGTGTTTAAAACAAGAAGAACAGCAGTTGATAACTCTGTTATGAGTATGCAGATCATATTTTAATAACCAAACCAGACATATACTGGTTTGATATGCAAAAGTAAATGTTAACCATCCGGAACACATTTAAACCTGAAACTCACTAAGAAACGTTCACATCAAATGTTAACCTGCAGCTGGAGTGAACAATTTCCATGTTATGCCTATGCAGAGGGTGGCTCTGTAGTGTTGCGAGGCAGAAAGAGGAAAAGGTTGCAATTCTGGTGTGGCGAATGGCCTGTTTTTGGCAAATTCAACAAGGCTAGATCGCCGCCTTGCATGTGAAGTACACAAAGTTTGTAGGAGTTTAAAAAACTGAATTTTTGTTTACATTGTCATTGCGAAAACCAATCAGGGTCTAGATATGATTGAGACCTACAGTGAAGGGGCACAGTGGAGACAAACTTTGTTAAAAACAGAATTGAAGATGAATCAAATATTGTTGACAAACGATGAATACGGAAATGCTCTTAAGACGTTTGTGGGTGGCTTTTAACTAAGCTAATTTAGTCCTAGTGGGATGATTTGATTGTCCTACCCAAGTGAAACCAACTGAGCAAAAGGTAGAGTAGCCTTTTGCTCACCGTGCGAATTCCCCTGCCATGCAAACTGTGTTTGCTGACCAGCAAGCAAAACAGGTGCCTTAGGCAACATTTTCATAGGTCTTGCAGTCTGTGTAAATGCACAATTACAGGCACAGCTTTTGCCTCTTTATTTAGCACATTTGAAAAACACGCGCCAACTGTGCAGCAACTGTCAACTAAAGGAAGCGATTGAACAATGACAGGAAAAGGAGTGTGTACATATTAGCATATTTGATTTTTAAAATGTAACAACAGTGGAATAATATTAGTCGGGAAAAATATTGTAAATTGGCATGGGCTAGTACAAATAAATGCATCAAAGAGCAAAAGACCTTAATGCAAATAAATAAAATGAAAAAACCACATTACCAAATGTATATATTTTAGAATTTTCAAAGCAAAAAACAATTAAATATTAACAGCCACAACTCAACTTCCATCAGCAGGTGCGTACATTGCTACACAACAAATACTGTGTAATTTCCTGTGTTGTTAATGTCTGGTTCCTATAGTCTCCAATAATAACAAGGATAATTAATTAGATAATTGGGCAAACTCACCCAACTAGAGCCACTTAAGTGTTTATTTGTTACGGTAAGTCAGTCTTCATCAGTACAGGCAGGAATAACATCACATGGAATTAATTATTGAATTACTCTTGCTACGCTTGAGTAGAAGCTGTGTAGGTTTTGTTCCAGGGACACAAATGATCAATGTTTAGTATTCTGGATTGCAGTGTGATGGTAAAGTTTTTTTTTTTTTTACCTATCCAAAGAGAATCTGTGGCAGCCTGGCATATGGAGACATTGATAAGCTACATTGTCAGATTAATTAGAAGAGGATGCTTGGAACGTACTCTCTGAATTTTTGATTTTTTTGTATTTTTCAGTTCCATAGAAATGCAAGGCAAATAAACCTAAAAATAAATAATTTCTGTGGGGGTCAGATCTCCTGGTTTGAATAGTAACATGTTTGAGGGAACATACTCTGAAACTGATAGCTTCCAGTTATTCAGGCTGTTGTGCACTTTACAGAAGATGATACAGATTTATCTCTGTAAGGCTGTCTTCTGATTTTTCAATTGCACTCAAATGTGTATAACCTCACTTGATGACATACACAAAGATATTTGAAGGTTTAGTTGGACCTATAGGTTGTTTTGTATGGTCATCATTTTAAATATGTATCTGTGGCAAAACAAGCACCATGTGAAACACGTTTAAATGAATAAATGTGGCCTGTGATTTAACATGCTTTCAGTACTCAGTCACACTGCAAAAGTATGTTATTAAAGCAACCCATTTCACATATGGTCAGAATTCATATTTGGTATCAGGTTTCAAGTTTCACAAGGTTTCAGTCCATATGGCCGTGACGCCTATTTATTCTACTTTGATGGCTGAGGCCGATGAATTGTGCTACATGTGAAAAAGTTTCTCTGGGTTCATTAATGGTGCTCTTTGTATGGGCCCGTTTGTCATTGCGACAGGGAAGTTCCAGATGCAATCATAAAAGAGATGTTTTTTATGAATAGGGCTCTGACAGATGAATGTGAGCTTACAACGGCAGAGGAACAGAGGAAGGGAGTTCTCTTTACCCACGATATATATCACAGTGATGGCCCTGGCATGCTTTCACATATCTCATCTTTCTGCGTACAGTCACAGAGACACAGAGAGACACTGCACATGCAGCCATGCACAGATTCATTCTATATCCTTGAAGCGCTTGGGATCCTGTTGTTTGAGCTCTGGTAGCGACTGTCGTTTTGATCCAACTGCTGGTAGAGAAATGAGAGGGAGCATTGTCCTATCCTACCCCATGTCCTCTCTAGACTTGGATCTCCTCAAACACTATTAAACTGCTCTGTGATATAGTATTGAGAAGGAGTGCGTTGAGCTACTCTTGTAGAGATTTGCCCTGTCAAAGGTCTAGGCTCTGTGATTTAGGAGATTGTGTCTTTGTCTAATAGTAGTGCTTCAGCTTAGTGGTTGCTGTCATCTCATCTCTGTGTTTCTCTAGGAGCAGGCATTGTCCCCACGTGTGTCTTCCATCAGACCAGCTCCCACCTTCTTCATGCCCACCCAACTGCCTTGGATCACAGAACAAGAAGAAGTACACATTTTTATTAGCCTCTCTTCAGTTTGATCATGTCTTTCATTGAGTAATAATGTTTTAAATATTATTCTGGTGTTTTAAACATAATTTTAGTCCACTGCTGGCACATTTCATGAGCATGTAACCCTTCTCACCTATTTTTGACACCACCTTGCAAACATTTTCCTGATTTTGCAGTTTATTCTGCCCCTGTTCTAACTTTATGGGTCCTTTGGGATTAATTTGTGACTGCAGGGTTTTTAAACATGGTCTACTTCAATCTGAGTTTCTGTTTTATGTAGTGAACTCTGGTCTCTCAATCTGAGAAATTCTTCTTTTTAAAATAATGTTGCATATTTTTGGGACCAGCAGTCATATTCCAGTCCTCTGCACAACAGCCTACTCAGCAGAGAAGCATCCCTCTGTTGGTACATTTGATTTCCTGTGTGGTTTTCTGTAATGTTCTCCATTGCTTTTCTAAAACAATCTGGTTGTGACCCTCAGTGGTTTTCAGCTTTTCGACTGTTTAGCCTTTTTCCACATAAATGAAATCTGAAATAGGATTCATGACATTACATGGTGGTTAAATGTAGCAGTTTACCACATTTCCAATTTAATTTATTACCATAGAATTTATGAAAACACGTTTTATTTAGTAAATAATGAAACTGACCCCAAACATATTCAGCATAGTTGTAACTTCTTATTTTCTTCAAATAAAGACATGAAAACAAGAGCAATATTTAACACTTGGTTTGCATTTTTTATATAGTTTATACTATAGAAGGAAGAAACACAATTAGGAATAAAAGTGTTTTAAATGTAAATTTTATCATTATTACTCTAGATTTTGTCATAAAAATGTTTATAGAGCCGTTCTTTTTCTCTTCATCTATAGAATTTCACATGTAGAAAACAAATACAGTGTCCTTTCATTAATCCATCTAGTGTTCTTTTACATTTTTTAAAGAATTCAGACTTACTGTAGGACTTAAGATACAATTTAAGTTTAGTGCCAATCTCACTATTTCTGAATAGAAATGGACACAAATTTCTGCCATTATGCTTTAAAATGACATAGTTTGGCCCTACAGTATTTCAATTCTTCTGTCACAGGCAACTAGATTTACATTTAACATGTCTTGAGCCTTGAACACATCAAATCCGATTTATCATCCGAATCAACAGAAAATCCTGGGGAGTGGCGGCCGAGTGGTTAGGGCATAGAGCTTGGAATTTAGAGGTTCTGGGTATGAGCCCCACTCCTACAGACTGCCTTCTGGGTCTCTGATTAAGACCCTTAACCCCACACTGCTCCCTGGGCACCACTTAATGGCAGCCCACTGCTCCCCAAGGGGATGGGTTAAATGCAGAGGTAAATTTCTCTAATGTGAGATCAATAGAGTTGAATTATTATTATCATAGGACGTGGTCGTTGCATTTAGCACTCATTGAAAGTCAATGGAGATGATCACACTCGAGACAATTTTCTGCAAGGGAGCTTGCGTTACTTTTACTGAGATAGACCCCAGGTCTATTTTAGTTGGACTACGCAGCTAGTTAGTCGCAATTTCATGGGTCTTACAGGAAGAGGGACGCTGTTTACGAAGTAAAGCACATCTGCTTTAGAGGAAAATACAAAATGAAATCTGTGAATTGCAAGAGAAAACAGTCAGGTTTTGAGTCACACAATGCATATGTAGCAGGCAGAGCAGACAGGCATGTACAATCAAGGAAACATTTAAAAAAAGAAAATACTCTACCTAGATAGAAGTTCAGGAGGAGAGGAAGTGGGTAAAACAGTTGTCCTCTACAAGCCTTGCAAAAAAAAAACATGGGACGGTGAAGAAAGAGCAGCTTATTATTTACATTGAAGATAAGCATAGCTCCAATATGGGGTAATTATCTCTTTTCCTTCTTTATGAATAAAAAATAAACAGCTTTAACAAACTTCACAGATATCTCTCTGACAATCACCTCCCACTGCTTTATCCAGTATCCATATAAACCCTCCCACAGCCTTAACTGCTGCTGCCCATTATATTCTTAATATAGTCCTATAAAAAATTCTCTCTGCTCTGGTTTAGAGATGCTGCACAGTGTATCTATGAAGTGTCAGCTTTGCGTTGTAACCATTCTGGTAGGTTTTTGCTTTGTTTTGTTTTTAATAACTTTTCATAATCTGTCCCAGTCAAATGTGGGAGATAGTTTCAATTCATGGGGCAGAGAGACAAAAGTGAAAAAAAAAATCTGCACAGGTCAAGTTCTGCCCACCCTGCATAGTTTCAAAGCATTTATGATGTCTTGTACTCTACTTACGTTCTTCATGCTCTTGACAACTTTCTCCTTTTTTATCAGATGTCTGATCCATGTAGGTTTTAAACCTCTAGTTCCTGTTTATTACAGTAATGCTGAAAGTTTACTTCAGTAAATGATAACTTTTTTTTCTTTATCACATTATTTTACAAAAATGCTTAAAATATGCATGGCAATTGGATGGAAGCATAGCCAAGTGTGCATGGTTTGCTTTTCCACATATAAATACCTGTGGGTTATGCCAGACCCATCTGGAGTGTTTCTTGCCAAAAGGATAATTTGACAGTAAGCCTAATTTGGCTAAAGCAAATGCTTCCAGTTAGACTTGCCATAGAATTGTGCAAACACAGCATGATAACCAAAGTACCTGTTGACATTTGTATGATTAATTTGTTATGTTTGTTATGCAGGCCCAATGACCTCTCAAGTTGCCACTTCTTACTGCAGTGCTGTAAAGTAACCTTTGGAGATATTTAGATGTTTCTATCTTCCTTTCTGTTCTCCTTAAAGTATTTTGACAGTACAAATGTGGGTGCTTATCCATAAGTGTGTGTAACAGGGCTACGGTAAAGAAATAAGTATTTGAACACCCTGCTATTTTGCAAGGAGGGGTCTGAACTGAAATTGTTGTGGTAGGTGCATGTCCACTGTGAGAGACATAAACTAAGAAAAAAATCCAGAAATTACAATGTATGATTTTGTAGCTATTTATTTGTATGATATGGCTGCAAATAAGTGTATGAACACCTATTGCCAACAATTCCGACTCTCAAAGGCCTGTTAGTCTGCCTTCAAAATGTCCACCTCCACTTCATTTATTATCCTAAATTAGATGCATCTGGTCGTTAGCTGCATAGAGACACCTGTCCACCCCATACTAAAAGTAAGAATCCAAATACTAACATGGCCAACACCAAAGAGCTGTCCAAAGACACCAGAGACAAAATTGTACACTTTCACAAGGCTGGAAGGAGCTACATTACCAAGCAGCTTGGTGAAAAAAAGGTCAACTATTGGAGAAATCATTAGAAAATATAAATCTCCCTTGGACTGGGGCTCAATGCAAGATCTCACCTCTGGGTCTCAGTGATCCTAAGAAAGGTGAGAAATCCACCCAGACATACACAGGAGGAGCTGGTCAATTATCTGAAGAGAGCTGGGACCACCGTTTCCAACATTACAGTTGGTAATACACTAAGACGTCATGGTTTTAAATGATGTATGGCACAGAAGGTTCCACTGCCTAAACCAGCACATGTCAAGGCCTGTCTTAAGTTTGTCAATGACCATTTGGATGATCCAGAGGAGTCATGGGAGAAAGTGTGGTCATTTGAGACCAAAATAGAACTTTTTGGTCATAATTTCAGTAACAATGTTTGGAGGAAGATGAAAGATGAGTGCCAGCCCAAGAACACCATCCATACTGTGAAGCATGGGGGTGGTAGCATTATGCTTTGGGGGTGTTTTTCTGTACATGTGATAGAGCGACTGCACTGTATTAAGGAGAGAATGAGCGGGGCTACCGGTATGTATCGCAAGATTTTGGGGAACAACCTCCTTCCCTCAGTTAGAGCATTGAAGTTGGGTTGAGGCTGGGTCTTCCAGCATGACAATGACCTGAGGCACAAAGCCAGGGTAACCAAGGAGTGGCTCTGGAAGTAGCATATCAAGGTTCTGGCTTGGGCTAGCCAGTCTCCAGACCTAAACCCAGAGAATAGAGAATCTTTGGAGGGAGCTTAAACTCTTTTTCTCAGTGACGCCCAGAAACCTGACTGACCTGGAGAAGATCTGTGTGAAGGAGTGGGCCAAAATCCCTCCTGCAGTGTGTGCAAAGCTGGTGAAAAACTACAGGAAGCGTTTGACCTCTGTAATTGCAAACAAAGGCTACTGTACCGAATAATAACATTTATTTTCTCCTCAGGTGTTTCATAAACAAGGTAACAAGCCATCTTTATATGTATAACTCTTTCTATTGTCCTTCACGTAAAGTTGGGTAAAATAAATTGCTTATCTCAAGTGTCAACTGTTAAACAGAAAAAAAAAATAGATTAGAGCTTAGAATTTTTTTTGAAACTGTTCACCTGTAAGCAATATTGATAAAAATAAACATATTGTCTTTTACTCTTTAGAGATCCTAATAGAATTGTAACTATGGTGATCTTTCTGAGATGTTTTTGTCTTTACTTTACAGTTACCTTTTACAATGTTTCTTTCACGTTACTTAGTCTTGCTTATTCCAATGACCTGACCTCTGTGTACTTGCTCAGAAATTGCTACATCCTTGTTTAACAACAAAGATAATTCTGTTCTAAACTATTATTCTTATGATAAGTGGTGCTCTCTTTTTTTAATTAATATGATCAAACTGAAAGATTAAGTTTTTAACACTTTCAGTGTGAAAGTATGCAACTAAAGAGTCATTTCTTTTCAACCACTTTTTACCATGACTGACAGTGTGGTGGAATGCTGTATATTTCACCTAATTTGGTTTGGTTAAAGAATTCCTTTGTTATTTCTTCTGCACTTCAAAGAAATATTTTGTTCCATAAAATGTTTTGTGTTTTGTTTTTAAACTTAAACTGAAAGTAAACTGTGAGGAAATTCCAAGATGTCTTCTCACTCATTAGTCACCATTTTTATAATTGCAATAAATATATCCTTTTTTTGTGTGATTTTCAGATAGAGCAGATGAAACAGGAGCTGAGCAGAAAGGAGTCGGACATGCAGGCTCTGCAAACCAAGCTAGAAACGTTGACCAACCAGAACTCGGACTACAAGCAACACATCGAGGTGCTTAAAGAGTCACTCAGTGCCAAAGAGCAGCGCGCAAACACTCTGCAGACAGAGGTGAGAGTGTGCACGATCATAAATGCAAAACGATTCTCTGGTATGTGACTGTTGATGCTGAGAAACACAAGAGAGCTTCATGCAACATACAAGATCAAAACAATTAGAGAAAGTATTTCAGTTTCCTAATATGATACACATTAAAATAAAAAAAAAAAATGAATTCCCCCAATATTAGAAGCAATGTGATGCTATTGCTTTTTTGGTTGAAATTGGTGAAATAAAAAGATGTGGGTTTTTAGAGTTAACTAGACAGATGCAACATTGATCTGATTGGTTTTGAGATTTTTCTTTGTTTTTCGATCTGATAGAAAGAAACTGGCCAGTTAAAGCTCACTCTGTTATTCCTCATACTGCCTGCTTCTCTTTTGAGTATTTAGGTGGGAGGAAAGCTATCTACGCGTGTGGCTTCTTTTTTTTTCCACCACCACAATTGTGTATGCTGGTGGGTCAGCCAGAAGGCTGAAGAAAGCTGGCAGCTTTTGTGCATGTTTGAAGTGTCTAAGGCTTTAGGGCTTTAATGATTTTATCAACATTGTAAGGGATAAAAAGGGGCTGAGTGTAGAGGTGTGGAGAAGGATGCATGCAAAATGTGTGTGTTTAGTGTGCATGTGTATAGCTAAGCATTTAGCTTTTTTTCTCCACTACTCTCTTGACTTGGAACTGATACTTCAGATCTCAGTGTTTGGCAGTTGAGAGGGGCCTGCTAACTATGTCCACTCATCATTACAGGAAGCAATTTGAGCCAAAATTAGGCTTAATTGTTAATACATGTGCAAATAATTTTGGCTCTTGCTTCTCGCTGAATACATCATACTTAAAAGAAGTACTTTTCAGTGGGTGGTTGTGTGTCTATATTTACCTACCATAAAAGGAGAGCTGCAATTGCAAAAAAATGTTTGTGTCATCGTGGCAGAATGTGCTCTGGGGACACCTGCTTTACCAAGCCTTATAATCCTTAAAGCTTGAGAAAGTATTTATCTGTCATTTTGTCTCAGCACAGCCAATCAACGGTTTCAGATGTGGTCAGAAAACAGAACAGGTGTGTTGAAATGAAAAAAGGCCCAACTATTAAGATGTATCTGTTCACCTTTCAGAGTTTTTAAGTTGAATTAGAAATAAAGGCATCATTTTCATTTACTGCCCATGTACAATAGTTTGCTTCATAAATTACCCAACATATTACTTTAAAGTCAGATTATTGCACACCAACTGTTGTGCAATGTTGATAAAAAAACAAGTTTATCACTATATTTTTTTAACAATACTTTTAACAGTAGTGTATAATAATACTAATGATATGATAAAACAAAACTTTACAAGTTCTCGCAAGTAACATCTATTTTGTAAAAACATGACCATAAAAAAATCTTGTAAGAACAATACATTTTATATTAGAACTTTAATAATTAAATAATTTTCATTTTTATCCCTGTCAGAGGTGGGGAATACTGTGTCTCAAGTTTAAAGAGGTCCTTGTTCTCTTTTCCAAATAATTATAGCTGTGTGAAGTTGAAAAACACTATGGTATTTACTAATGTATTTATTAAAATACTCTATTTTTGTATAACATATTTTTTAGATTATTTTGTTCAGTTCAATATTTATTTTTACTGCTTAGATTGTTAATATTGGAAAGGTCTTAATTATGTATTTTTCTTCCTTTCCCATTAAATCTTTCTTCATATTCATCATTCACAAATGTATTTATGTTGCAGAACTATATTTTAAACTGACCAAAAAGCATTGGCGCACATACTTCACCACAGAGAAGTGAAAATGAATATAGAAAGTGTTTGATGGTAATAGCCACAGTTGTCAAATAATTGTGTTTATGGTAAAGTGAGGTAAACTATCCTTCCTCCAGTGGTTTAACTGGAATTTCTCATGAGTAAATGTTTTAGAGCCAGTTTTTACCTCAGCTGACCCTCTGTAAACCTTATGACCCTGGTAAAAAGAAACAGGCTCCATAGGGAGAATAGGCTATGCACATTACTGTGGTTTCCTATCAGCTGGTTCATTTTTGTCAAGGAACCATATAGCTCTGCCTTTTCAGGTTAGACCAGCGTTAGTATGATTGTAGTGGAAATATTATCAATATTATTTCTAATTTGAAAAATATTTAAGTTTCATTTAATATTTTGAGCTTTTTCTTAGGCACATTCCTAAATTCACTTCAAACTTAGGACACATATAAATGACTGGAACCTCTTAGGGTTTTTTCATTATAACAATACCAGGATAGGTGCTTATTGTATGAACATTGAGTTTAATACACACATGTGTTTGTTTAGGGATTGGACTTGAATTTTGTATGAGAGAGAAACAACTATAATATTTCTGATTTTGGGTGCATCACTGCATTCTTTGCTGCTTCTCCTAACTTCTCAAAGGCCACTGCTGAGGACCAGTAATCTGATCCAGATCACAAATACACAAACACACAGCTGTGCACACACAGCCCCATAAACACAGAAAAATATACGTTGTCAGTTCTGATTACTCGACTCTCATCTCCGGTCTACAGTAATTTTTCTTGCTATTGAAGTGGCATTTTTTTCCCCTCACTTTGGCATGACTCGGGTTTCCTCAACTAAGTGGGCAAACCAGAGGATGACTAAAGATCTTTAGTGCGCTGTAGTGGGCCAGTTGATGAAATGCATTCCTCTGCTGCCTGTCAGTCAATCAGCAAGAGAGAAGAGCATCCTCATTCAGTGATAGTACCCAGGATCTCTATGTTTTAGAACAAACCTTTTTAAACATATTAAACTGGTGCATTAGACATCTTATAAAGGAGTGCACATTTTTCGTTTTGTTGGCTTTAACCGCTTAAAACTAAAAACCGGTATGTTCCAAATCCAAAGTTCTTTGTTCCAGTCACTAAGAAAAAGTGTAGAACTACGAGATGGCTAGCCTTAGAACAGAGAAGCCTCTGTATGCAAAGGAATGAGAAAATGCAAGTGCATTTATTTGTCAGTCAAAGTTAAGGACAGCATCTAAATGGGTGTGATTGAATCTGTCTTCAGATAACTGGAAAATGTAGAAAATAATGAGTGTACACTTTTCTGGAAGCTCTGTGGTTCTGCCAGAGTCTGTGGAAACTTAACCCTTTAATACAGTACGATGTGTGTGTGCCTTTCATAGCCTGATCAGGACAATGCTGCACTGTAATGATACCCCACCCGATCGGGTAACCTATCAGAGACCTTCCTGCATATTTAACAAACCCAGGAAACAAAAGGAGAGCTAAGCTGCCACAAGAGTTTCAGCTTTCAGCTTTCAGCTCAAAGATTGTTTTATAAATGGAGAACGTAGCTAAAAGTAAGTTTTTATTTACCTGAAGGTAGTTTAATATAGAAGAAATACCCTTTTGTTTTATGTAAAGAATATCTTTCATTAAATATCTTTCATTATTGAAATTTAGGTTATTAGAACAGTTTATGATTATAAATTGTTTCAACATCAGATTCAATGAATAATAGGAAATTTGGAAATCAATAACACTCATTTTATGAGCTCAATGTTTTCTTCCAAGAGGTTACTCACTCAAATAAATACTATACTTGAATCAGACTCAAGACGTCATTAAAGACGTCTGTGTTTAAAAAGTTTAAAAGTTATTTAGAAAACAACAAGTTGAACGGTCCTCTCAGTGGAAAGTTTCTATTCTTTAAGTTGTGCTTACATAGCTGTCAAGTCTCCCATTTTGCATGGGAAACTACCGTATTTCATCCATCTGTCATCCCCCAGAACTTGCAATTTCCCATAAATTTCCAATAAATATTAATGTAATTAATATAGAAAGATATATATATATATATATATATATATATATACAAAAAAATAAAAAATCTGATCAGTCTCTCCAAATGGAAATGACAAGATCAATTTCTTGATCTTTTTGCTCTCGCCACCCTTCTGTTCATTGAGCTTCACTGGTTACCCCTGGCTGCCTGAATCAAATTCATGTTCCTGATGTTCAACTACAAAGTGCTTAAGGGTACGGCTCCAATCTACTAGAACCCTCTAGCAGAGGCTTATGTCACAACTCGGTCACTCCGGTCATTAATTGATTGTCGTCTAGCAGTTGCTACAACACGCTCAAGACAATCCAGACTGTTTCCATGTGTTGTTCCAAGATGGTGGAATGACCTACCAAGCACTACAAGACCAGCAGCGTCCCAGTCTACATTCACAAAACTCCTAAAGACCCACCTCTTCAAAGAGCATCTCTTATCCTAAATTTAACCCATAGCTCTTTACCCCTCTACTACTGTTTCTATACTATGATAACAAACATTGTGTCTAATTTGTAAGTCGCTTTGGATAAAAGCGTCTGCTAAATGCATAAACAAACAAACAAAAAGCTTTCTGCATGGCGTCCCCCAGTCGTCTTGCTGCTCAGGTACTGTTAGAGGACCAGTACGTGGACATATCCCTTGTCTCTTTAGGTAATGACACGTTGGCTTCCAAGTAGTCTCTTTCAGGCATTTCTCATGCATTTCCTGTTTCTGCAAGAAGACCTCTACTGAGTTTTGATTTTGAGGTTGAAATGTAATGACTCAAGAAAGGTATAAATGAGTCGAATAATATGCTAACATTGACTACAGTGACAGTGATAAATAGCAAAAACAAGAAGAGAATAAAAAAAGCGAGAGGGGATAATTTATGGGCGGATGGAGCGACAAGAGGAAGTGAAAGTGAGATGTTTAAGGGAATTAATAGATCAAGGTGTTTGTAGGCTTTTGTCAGTGAGTTATGCAATGTTACGATGTACTGTGGTTTCTGCTGGTCTATTACTGTTGATCTTTCTTTGTTCTTTTTGCTGATTGATGGTTCATATTGCTAGTGAGGCAGCAACAAGATGTTGTTTCAACATGGTGTGGGTACCCTATGAATTATGCCCTCAGTGTCTCTCTCTCTCTCTCTCTCTCTCTCTCTCTCTCTCTCTCTCACAGCTGTTTATGATATTAGAATCAAAGACGGGCAACAATAGAATC